GATGCTGAACGTCGCATGATCACAACTGAGCCAACAGTTCTTGAAACTCGCTTCCATATGCGAGTGCTTTGGATTATAAGCATGTTCCCGGAATGAATTATGCTAGCACACAAGGTTTTACTGTACTTGCTAACCGACTCCACACGCAACATGCGATCGATAATGTCGCCGAGAGAGGCTCCAGGAGGGGACACACGAACCGCACAATGGAGTGAGTCCTGATATCCATGGATGGGTTTCGGCAGCTGGAACCGAAATCAGTGGCCTGCAGTGGTCTGGGACAGTCACGCGAGGTCTGTCTACAGCAAGGTGTTCACAAGACGGGATTCAAAGGGAGGGAGAGGCAGCGGCAGACAGACTGATGAATTTTCTTTTCCTTAACAATGTAGTTAAATTGATTTATAGGCCTCCTTTGTCAAATCTCAGATTTGAGATAATTACAAAAACTTTTTTTTAGGGGCGCCTGGGTGGCTCAGTCGGTTGAGCGTCTGACTTCGGCTCAGGTCACGATCTCGCGGTCCATGAGTTCGAGCCCCACGTCGGGCTCTGTGCTGATGGCTCAGAGCCTGGAGCCTGCTTTGGATTCTGTGTCTCCCTCCCTCTCTGCCCCTTCCCCGCTCATGCTCTGTCTCTCTCTGTGTCAAAAATAAACATTAAAAAAAAATTAAAATCAAATAAATTTTTTTTAATGTTTATTTTTGAGGGGAGAGGGGCAGAGAGGGAAGGAGACAGGGGATCCCAAGCAGGCTCTGTGCTGATAGCGGAGAACCCAATGACGAGCGGCTTGAACTCATGAATTGCGAGATTATGACCTGACCTGAAGTCAGATGCTTAACCGACTGAGCCACCCAGGGGCCCCTCAGATTTGAGATAGTTTATAATGAGGTTAGTAAACGATTAGTTAGTAAATGACCAAAAGGGTTTACACAATTATTGCGAGATTATGAAGCGCTTAGCTTTGAGCTTCCTGGCAGCCAGGACAGAAAGAGACAAGCTACGCCTTCCAGCTTTAAGCAGCTTCCGGGAGACAGAGATTGTCCCCGATCTAAATGTTAACAGGAATCCCTCGGGATTCCTGAAGAAGCTCACAGGATGAGGCACTGAAATGGATTTGCAAAGGGAAAGGAAGAAGTGATGAAATTGGAGGGTGGGGCGGGGCGGGGAGGGAGACCGCACCAAGATAAGAGTTTCTGGGTCCAGGCACTCAGAGCCTCTCTGGACCTCTTAAGTGTTTCAGGAACACAAAAAGCTCCTTGATGACATCACATCCTCTTAGAGCGAGCAAGGAGAGGGCACCAGATACCAAACACCGATCTGACTTGTGCTCTGCCCACACCCTGTGACCTCTAGGCCAGCACCCCTGCCAAGTGAGGCCCCTTTGGCCTCTTTCTCTCTCCTTCCAGGCCTGTCCTTTTTACCCCATTTCCCATGGGAACCTCACCTCCAAGGCGGCCATTCACACCTTTGTGCGCCATTTCCCTCTTCCCTTTTCTGCTCAAGCTCTACATGGACCCATTTCCTACTGTGTTGGAGGAAATGATTGCTAAATGGTCCAGAAAGCTGGGGGTGGTTGCAACTGTTCAACTGCAATTGTTACAACTGCAGGAAGAATTTCAAAGCTGGAAGCGGTCTGTTAACTGTTTGCGGAAGACTGTGAGAGACTTTTTGTCTTTAATTATAACCCGGCAATACTAACAAACCCAAATGGGAAACAATGCATACGTTGTTAGATGTTGTTTATAACCTTTGCATATAGGTTCTCCTGCAGGACCGTATACAACACGAATTCCTGAGATACAAAACATTATAATCCTGTTAGGGAACTCCTCAGACCCCCTCAGTGACACCTTTCTAAAAACAGACTCCCCCTGCAGTGTTAGCAAGGAGCCCCGGGTTGATCTGTTTTCAGTGTGAGATCTAGGCTCCCAACTCGGCCCCAGGGCCTCCCACTCTCTCTGTACACACCGGGTTTTGCATAACATGTCATGTGCTGGGAGGAGAAAGGCAGGTGAGATGGGGCATGTATTTAGGACACGTTTGAGTTGCTTCATTTTGGGGCCCAGTTTTCTTTGGGGCCACTAGCAAAACACCCGAATGAGCAGCAGACTGGTGTTTGGGGAATAGTCTTTGGTTCTCATTCATTTGGGATCGGCAGCCATGAGAACCATTCGCTCCTGCATCCAAGTGCAAGGGGCTAGACTGGGGAGATCCCTGGAGAGGCCACGCAAGTCAATATGGGGTGAAAGGACACAGGCGTGAATGCCAGGGCAGAAGCCTTCCAGCTGCCCTCCTCCTGACATCCAGTTCCCTGACTCACATGCCTTCTAGACACCAATGACCTCAACCCTGCTGTTTGATCCTGACCCTCCACCTGGCTACCTACTGATTACCTGGCATCTCTACTTATGTGTAATACACAGTTGGCCAGAACAGAAGCTTTGATTTCTCTCCAAAATCTGTTCTCCTAGATGTTCCCATTTACTCAATGGCACCAATACTCCCCTAGAGCTGCTCAAGCGAAGGCTCTGGACGGCACACTGTCCAGTCCCTCTCCATTCGGTCAATCAACCCCTCTGCACAGAGCTTCTCAGACCTAGCTGAACACAAGGGACACCTGGGAGCTTTAAAGCACCCCAACACCCAGGGCTCTGCCCCAAACCAATCAGAGCAGAATCTCTGGGGGTGGGGCCCGGGCACCGGTAGTCTTTCAAAGCTCCCTAAATTAGTCCAATGTGTAGCCAGGTTTGAGAATCAGTGGCTTAAAAGATACTCCAAATCCAATAGCTTCTGCCCAGATTCACAGCTCCCATTTTGGTCTGAGCCACTACCCCGTCCTGTGTGGGCCACTGCAATCCCGGTGATCTTCCTGGGTCTCTGCCCCACCTCCATCACAAGCACAAGGCACTGTCGTTTTAAAAATCAGGTTATGCCGGGGCGCCTAGGTGGCTCAGTCGGTTAACTGTCCAACTTCGACTCAGGTCATGATCTCGTAGTTCATGGGTTTGAGCCCCGCGTTGGGCTCTGTGCTGACAGCCCGGAGCCCGCTTCGGATTCTGTGTCTCCCTCTCTCTCTCTCTCTGCCCCTCCCCTGCTCGTACTCTGTCTCTTTCCCTGTCTCTCAAAATTAAATAAACATTAAAAAAAAAAAAATCAGGTTACATCATGCCTCTCTGATGGCTTCCTGCTGCATTTAGGGTAAAGACCAAAGCTTTCGTGAGGCCCTCAGGGTCCTGCCCAATCTGGCTTCTATCCACCTCTTCTGGCTCCTCTTGCCCCGACTCACCATGCTTTGGTCACCCAGGTCTTAGTCCTGTTCCTCAAACACCCCAAGCACACGCCCACCTCTGGGCCTTTGCACCTGCTCTCTCCTCTTCCCGGAAGGCTCTGCCCTCAAAGCTTCGTTTGCCTGACTCACAGCTTCGTGGTCTCAGTCAGGTGGCACTGCTCTGAGGTCTTCTCAGACTCCCTTCAGGTAAAGAAGGCCCCCTGCGCCGCAGAAAAGTCACTGCCACATCACCTCGGTCACACCCTTCGACTGTCTCTAAAACACTCATCGCTGTTTGAAATTCCCTCGTTCTCATATGTCTTCACTGCCTGACCCCTGTGCCGGGACGCGAGCTTCCGGCGGGCAGGGGCGTCTGGTCTGACTTGCTCACAGCTGTGTCCATTGCTCAAAAAGGACCTTTCACAGAGGAGGCACTCAATGCACATGCCATTCATTGGATCCCATCCCGCGGTGCCCCCAGGGCTCCTCCTCACCACTGCCAGAGTGATCCCTGTAAAATGACACCTGCATCTTGCCACTTTTTTTTTTTTTTTTTTTTAATGTGCATTTATTTTTGAGAGAGAGACGGAGACACGGAATCCGAAGCAGGCTCCGGGCTGTCAGCACAGAGCCCGATGCGGGGCTCGAACTCACAACCATGAGATCGTGACCTGGGCTGAAGTCCGACGCTTAACTGACTAAGCCACCCAGGCACGCTGCCACTCTTTTATTTAAAATCCTCAGGGGCTCTAGACTGCCCCTCGTCACCCAACTGCTTTGGCACTCCGCCCACACCGCCGGCCCAAACCTATCGCCCTCCTAAGTTCCCACCATCGCAAACAGCTCCTGGGGGCCTCGAGGAGCCACATGCCTGCATTCCTGTCTTCGTCCATGTTACTCCGCCTGGCACACCATCAGTGTCCTCCCTCCCTACCGCCTGTCACCTCCCCCGACAGCATACACAGCGCTCACAAGACCTGGCTTGGGTGTGACCCGAGCAGCCAACGCCGCCTAGACTGGTGAACGTCCCCGTCCTTGCTCTTCCACGGCAACTGGCGCTTCCCCCCGCCACAGCCTCAGTCGCACAGGGCTGGCCTCACCCGTCTTCTCTAGACAGAGGGCACCCCGATCATAACCGGGCGCAGGCTTCCCCTCAGTTATAAACCGTTCTCCTTACGTCGCTTTGCTTTTCCAAGAGACCTACTTTAGTACCTGCTCTTGCCAACCGAAACAAATCTGAAGAGGGTGTTTTGCTCTTACAAAACGGCAACTGCTTCTTCGCTTTATGTGATTCTAGCTTATGAAAGGTTTCCCGGGAACTCTCTACTCTCAGATAGCAGGGGAAATCCGAACTTGGTTTCCTTCAGGCGCCGGCTGTCTGGTGACCCCGCAGATGGTCCTGCGCGAGAAGAGGTGCTATCTGGACGCGGAACTGAGCTGCGAAAGCGGCTCTCCCCGGTGGATGGGGTAACACCCACCACCCGAACCCGCACAAAACGGAGCCCTCTGAGAAGGGAACCAGCCCGGGACCCAGGGTCTCTAGTGTGCTTTCCCCGGGGCTCACAGAAACAAAGTCTGTGTCTTCCCTTTCCTAATTTAAACACACTCGTCCTACGCACTCAAACAACGAAGCCACAGGAGGTCTTTATCAAATCACGCGCTCTCCTTTCCGTACCCAAGATAATGAAGGGGAACAGAGGATTTAATGCCAGGGTACACGACATTCAATGGCCACTTGCACAGCTGGTATATTTCGCTAAGTCCTCAGGCAGAACACCACCGCTTTCCCCACAGATATTCACCAAGAGGCACTTGCTGCGGCCTGAAACAGGCTTGTCCAGCTTTTCAGGAAAAGGCGAGCCTCGCCCAAACAAAGTGAAGGCCATTTCCGTGCAGGTTCCTGGAATTGGATATGGCTTTAATTCCGAGAGCACCTAGCTGCAGTCCTGTCTTCACCGGGAAGCCCCGGCCTGACCAAACTCCCCCCGGCCCCCGAGCATGCTTGCCACTCTGATGACCGGCCCCCAGTCGCCATGCTTATCGGGCTGAGCCTTTCTAACTAGAGGCTGGATTTCACCTGGACCGGAGCTCACCCAGAGCAGCCTCCATTAACGTCTACATCAGTATGCGGACAGAATCATTCGACCAAGACGGATAAGCTGTGGCACAGATGGCGTCCTCCGGGGGCCCTGAGTCCACTTCCCCACCCCAGCCCTGGCCCTCCTGATCTCCACACGCCCAAGGTCCAGGGGAAGGAACATGCAGGCTGCGGCCATGCCAGGACCAGAGGAGCAGAGTGTGGGCTGGTCAAAACAAGCCCAGACATACTCACGGGGTCCGTCAGCATGGCCCGGCAGTGGGAAGCCAGGGCCAAGAAGGCCAGCAGGTTGAACACGATTCCGTTGATGACGCTGTACACATAGTCTCGGGATGGAATCAGCATGACAAAGAGGACCACAAACTCCGCGTAAAGGACCAGAAACCAGGTGACAATGGCACAGGCAATGCCACAGCCGTCGCGGATAAACCACATGGTTCCCACAGGACCGGGGTGGGGAGGTGGGACGCACTTCTCCGGCTGGAGGTATTCTGGCTTCCGCTCAATGTCTCGGAAGTGGTGGGTGGGGATAAGCATCATAAGCTATTCTGTCCATACTGGCATCTGGAAGAGAAGAAAGAACCCAGAAATTTGGTGTTGTCTTGTTATCAAGGAGACCTGACAAAATTATCTTTCCAAAGTGAGCCATGAGTGTTGATGTGCGAACTTCCTGCAGGAAAGCCGCCTAAACCTTCTGTTCATTTAAAATGTGAGTTCTTGGGGGCGCCTGGGTGGCGCAGTCGGTTGAGCGTCCGACTTCGGCTCGGGTCACGATCTCGCGGTCCGTGAGTTCGAGCCCCGCGTCGGGCTCTGTGCTGACGGCTCAGAACCCGGAGCCTGCTTCGGATTCTATGTCTCTCTCTCCTCTGTCCCTCCCCCACTTTCTCTCTCTCTCTAAAAAGTAGATAAACATTAAAAAAATAATAAATAATTAATTAAATAAATAAAATGTGAGTTCTTGGGGCTCCTGGCCGCTAGAGCATGTGACTCCTGATCTTGGGGTTGTGAGTCTGGGCCCCACGCTGGGCACTGAGTTTCCTTTAAAAAAACAAAAAAAAAGTGAGTTCTCAGCTCTCTTCCCTATTTCTGAGAGTTAACTTAGCCTTTGCAAAATAGGGCCACCTTGCCCAAAGCCTTCGCATGACAGATAATGAAAAGGGAGCCTTTGAAGGGCAAATGCCTCACCCAAGGTCAGCCAGACCAACAGCTGCACACAGGACGCCAGCTCAGAAGTGGGACTAGAATGTGGGTCTCTTCATTTGTTAGGGGTCTGCTGGGAAGACAGTGTCTCAACAGATTATATTCCACTTGTGACTTCAAAGGCAAGATGGGGCACAGAGTGCCAAGCACTCTGGGAAAACTCTTCAGTGTTAGCACTGCTGCCTCTACGCCAAGGACAAACCCAGAGACTGACGTTGAGGCTGTCTGCGGTTAACAGGGATGAGCAGAACGAGAGTACCTGCTTCCCCAGAACCAGGCTTAAGCTGCAACCATTAAGTTGCAGTCTAACTTACGGGGGGGGGGGGGG